TAAATGTAATTCGGACACCTGTAGCGAACTCGATCGTCGGCAACTTCACATACTTTATAGTTATCGTGTCTTCGGATCCGGCAATAGAGTCTTTAGTCGTTCCATTCCATTCGTTCTCTCGCTCTCCAACCACCTTCTCGTTCCATTCGCCTTTTCATCTCTTACATCCGCATACCCTACTCCCCGGGGATAAGACAGGCCGCATTTACCTTTGGGGCGCTGAGTCGTGCATGTGTGCCTCGCCACCTTCCAAAACGGACGCAGTGCACATCACCCACCGCAGCCAAGGTCCCTAGCTCCTTATTACTTGTCGGAACACCCAAGTTTCCCTCGCCCCAGACCAAACTCTGAAAAGCATAACTCCCCTAGCCACGAATACTGGGAGCTGTACACAGTATTTCCCGAATCCGCAAGCCACAAGCCAAAAGCAAGTTCAATCCACCGTCGATCACGGCCACAACCGCATCCATTTATCAAAGCAACCAGAGCAACAACACTATCGATCTTCACACCAACACAAGCACAACAAGCAAAAATGTCCGGGAAACACGACGAGCCCCCAGCCTACGGCACCCCCCAGCCACCGCAGGCATCGTACTACCAGAGCCCGCCGCCGCAACCCCCATACCACAGCCATCCCGGCCAAAACAACGGGAGCGCTGCGGGCTACTACCAGTCCGGGCCGCAAATGGGCTACCCCCAGCAGCCGCCGCCGGCCGCCGGGTACTACGCCAACCAGCCGGGCGGGCCGTATCCGCCACAGCAGGGCCAACAATTCTATCCGATACAGCACCCGCCGCAGCAGAAGCGCGGGCCGGTAAGTCAAATTCCATTTCTTTTTCGCTCACTTGCCTGGCCTGTTATCATTCCGCCGAGCGGAGGAGAAGAGGGCTAACGAGGATAAAAGGGCTTCTTTGAAGCGTGTCTTGCCGGTATGGCGTGCTGTTGCTGCTTGGATCTCTTGTTTTAAGCGGTCGGGAAGGCTGCATCAGGATTGACCGGACTGGACGGGAGTCAATTATGCGCCGCTGTCCAAGGGACTTGTTACGATCTCAGCTTTTTCTGACGGTCAGCAACGGCGATGGGCGCAAGGGGAAAAATATGACGGCTTGGGCCAGCTTCGGACAACCTGGGGTTGGAAATCGATGTTGGAATGCAATGCCGGATGCGCGACTAAACGTGCGACGCCGTAGGAGGGTGGGAACCCAAGGGGACACGGCACAAAGTTTTATATGGGATGGGAATGGGCGTCCAGGATTTCTTCCTTTCCGCAGCACGATGGTCTTTTGAACGGCTTTTTCCTGCATGTCAGTTTTTGGTAGGTTGCCTCTTTAAGCATTGTAATCAGGCACCTGTTCATACAGTTGTTGCTCATACGACGATTTCAATATTGTTTATTGCTGTTCTGGAGCGCCGTCTAGGATTCTATTCGAGCACCGCCTTGCTTCCAAGCGAATGTCTTCTACTCAAACCTCGTCAGCAACAGCTATAATGTCGCAAACAGTTCATCAAATTTGGAATTCGCCTCCTTGATCCAGTCGTGAGAGTAGATCATCCTCTGGACGTCAGGGCTAGCCCACTTGTCCGGCACGGTGCCCGACTTGCCGTTCTCGCGGAACAAGCGATCCCGCTCTTCCTTCGCCTTGCCCTCGCCGAGATGCAATATCCGCCCGGAGTGCGCCGCCAGGTCGACAAGTGCGCTACAGTGCGGCTTGCGCAGCAGCTCGTACACCTTGAGCGTCTTGGTTATGGTCACGGGATCGTGCAGCTTGTCGCTCGGGATTCTGCTCACGACCTCGGCCAGTACGGCGCCGTCCTCTATGGCCATTGCCGCGCCCTGGCTAAGGTGCGGCAGCGTCGGGTGGCAGGCGTCGCCCACCAATGCGGCCGACCCGTGCACCCATGTGGGGAGCGGCTTGTGGACGCGCAGCTTCCACTCGCACACCTCGCCGTCCGGCACGAGATCGAGCATGCGGTGCACGAGCGGGCAAAAGTCCTCGTACATCTTGAGCATTTCTGACTTGGAGCCCCTGGTCGTGTAGGTCGCGTTGGTGGCCGACGCGAAGTGGATGTCGGGCTGCGCTGATGACAGGTTGTAGATCTGCTTGTTGCTGACCGGGTAGGCAATGATGTGCCTCCGTTCGCCGACCCAGCGCACAACCTCGTCGCTGTCCAGAAGCGCCAGCATCTCCGGGTCGTGCTCCATCTCGGAGCGCTTCAACATGATGCGGTATGCGGCCTGCCCCGTGTCTTCTTCCTGAGATTCGGTACCCAGCTCTGCCAGCATTTGCTTGCGCGTTGCCGATTTGATGCCGTCGGACGCGAGAAGGATGTCGGCTTCTACTGTGTACTCATCGCCGTCCCGAGGCTTGACCGTGATGACCGGTTTTGGCGAGAATGCGTCGACCCTCACCAGCGACGTAGAGAAGTGAAACTTGATGGCGCGCTCCCTTTGGCACCCTTCGAACAAGCCGCCCGCGAGGGATGACCGGTGCCCTAGGGCGTGCGGAAAGCCGTATTTCTCTTCAATGTCGGGCATCTCCACGTGTGAGAGCTCCCTGTTTGTGCTTCCCTCTGCGCAACTTGTTAGAAGAAGACGGTTCACTCAGACAAGATTCTTGGCTGGGGGCTTACCCCTGATGCTGGTCCCCCTGACGATCGTGGCCTCCTTTGCGATCGACTCCCAGCACCCAAGATGGGATAGTACGCGGACGACATTCGGGGGGATCTGGATTCCAGCGCCAACAAAGCCCAGATTCGAGGCCGTCTCGAAGACTCGGATGTCTTTGAACCCCTTCCGTGCGAAGGCCAGGGCTGTTCCCAACCCTCCCATACCTGTAAGAAGGGTCAGCGTCGCTTGGCTCCAGAGACCGACACCGGAGTCAAGTGGGAACTGGGAAGCGTACCCGCACCGATCACAACGATGCGCAAATCTCGAACGTCAGCCATGGCAGCGACCTGATAGGACTGAACTCAGTTATAGCGTGATGCGCGGAGTCTTGAAAGTATGAATAGACGCTGCTTTGGTTAACAACTTGTCTCGAGGAGCAAGGCACGTTATCTAGCTAATAACTGAATGATGGCTGGACAATAGCGGTAGTTCTCTCGGTCATTGATATATTGGTAGCATAGCCCAGGGGACCCATGGAGAGGATGCCTCGGCTCCTGGCCTCGCACTCAGGGCAGTCTCGAAGGGTGTGTAGCATGCTGCTATGGTTATTGCGGACTAAGTTAAGTAATTCCATCTGCGACATTTCGCAGGAGCAACGGGCCAAAGTGTGGGAGGGGCAGACGAATTGATGTGTGCGGGGAAAGCTCCATCCTGACTGGCAGCGTATGCGGAAGAAGTCTGGGTCCATCGTGGATTGCTAGGCTGGGAAATTCCTCAAGCCTGGGAAAATGGATTTGCCGGTCAATAGGCCCGAGGCCAGCCGCAATCGGCAGGACGCGTCAGGTCCAAGGCTTCCTTCCATACTAATAAGGCATCACTGTCGTCCAAACCCTGGCTTGCTGGGCCGTCCAGCTGGGTGTTGGACGTCGACAAGATCTAGCAAGGCGAGCGAACAATGTGGGTTCGGTTTTTCGGGGGCTTGAAATAGCTCCGAAACCCAGAAATCTTGTACAAATGTTATTCCAGCCCACGTGAAGTTCCACGTGCTGATGCGATCTGTATCTTGAAAGGGAAGCCCTTGGGTGCCACAGACACATGGCATTGCCGTGCAGATGCATTCCCGGAACCTGGTTTATCGTGTACCAGGCTTGCCACAGACACCATTGCGTCAATATGGATTTGACTGCGGATTACGGAGTACACGAATAAGGTACGGACAGCACACTAGGCGCTGGCTTATTGGTAACGTCAAGGTATAGCTCCATACATGTACAGCGCATTGTGCCTCCCAATCCCGTCTCACAATCGGGATGAAGTTTCCCTAATACTAAGACTTAGCATATGTTGAAGAAGAACGCCAGATACTGCACCGGCCGATGACGGTCCGGTGGCACAGTTTTTGCGGGTTGGGGTGGATAGGTCCGTGTCCTGAGACCAATGCTTGTACAGTACTAGTACAATACATACAGGGACATGTACTGTCTGTACAGTAGGTACTTAAAATGCGGGTTTACAAAGGCAGTCTACGGATACTTTGTGCCCAGTAGAGTCTCGACTAGACAGCACAAAGGCATATCAAAGTTGGACTCATCACTGCATTACCGAATATTTTTAACTTTGTAAGAAGTCTAAAACAACGAACAGTTCGAGAAGCGCTTGCCTATACGTAGCTCCTGTGAATTGCAAGGCGTCTAGCAAAGTGAAACAAAGACCTGTTAGTTCATCTCTTCAGTTACATACGCGCCAAACAGACGCCAAAGGCCAGCGGGAAGGGGAATGATAATTGGCCAGTAACACTGCAGGAAACTGCTGGGAGAGCCGCCGACGTCACCAGGCGCAGCCAATCAAGCGGGCTCTTGTTACTGGTCAATGTTTCAGACGAACAGGTACTGTGTTGTACCTTGGATCTTAAGAGGAGGAGCATCGAGCACCAAGCGCACCACCCTGGCCAAGATGACCTAATTGAGGGCCCTGCAAACTCCAACCAGCCAAGTCCACCTCCAAGACGCCCCTGCATTGTGCTGAGGTCCCTTTCATCCCGTCATTGATCTCTAGCGTCCTAAAATCAGGGCCGTGTCCCTCGACAAGTGTGGGGTCGGCCCTGCCCGGGCTGATTGTAGCCATTGTCCACCTCATCGAACGACTCCTGGAATTCCTCGCTCTCATATACGTAGACACGCGACCCGGTTTCCTGTTTCCCATCCCCGTAAACAGTGATCGCCAACCACAACGACAACACCACGACCGAGATTTTACACCCGCACACTAAAGGGAACAAGGACATACCGTACGAAGCTACCTACGAATTTCTAGGGACCGTTACTCCGGGGCAAAGCGCATGGCATATCGAGGTGTGGGCCTTGGCAGTCGCGACTGCAGGAATCTCCTGTGAAAGAGGACCAAACGAACCTATATTGTAATCATGAGTAGCACAACGGCACCGGCGCCGTCGCCGGCGACGACCTCGCCCACGCTACCAGAAGGGCATTCGTCCGGGGCCGCTCAGGAGTCAACAGGTATCAGCCTTGTTGCCTTTGTGACTGCCCTGGCGACTTCGCTGGTCGTCTTTGGCGTCCAAATGGGTTTCTTTTTGCTGTTGCGGAACAAGCTGGTCAGAATATTGTGAGTAGCTGCCATGTTCAACGCCTTGTCTTTCAATACTCGGGTTCGGGGGCTGAAACGTATGTGCATGATAGCAAACCGAAAACCTACCTGGTACCCGAACGTGAACGAACCGAACCGCCACCTTCGAATCACTTGTTGTTGGCTTTCAAACTCATGGGCTTTGAGGACCGCGAGATCATCAAGAAATGCGGACTTGACGCCTACTTCTTTTTACGCTACCTACAGACCCTCTTGGTCATATTCATCCCTATCGCCCTTGTCGTGATCCCGGTTCTAGTTCCTCTTAACTACGTCGGGGGCATGGGACGCGACATCATCGGCAACAGCACTGTCCAGAGCGCCAGCATCCCCAAGGGGTTAGATACTCTCGCATGGGGCAACGTCGCCCCGAATCGGCAACAGCGCCGTTGGGCCCATCTCGTACTCGCGCTTCTCGTTATCATCTGGGTTTGCGGTGTCTTCTTCGCCGAACTTCGAGTGTACGTCAAAATTCGGCAGGACTACCTTACCAGTGCCGAGCACCGGTTGCGAGCCTCGGCAAATACGGTACTTGTGAGCTCGATCCCGGACAAGTGGCTGAGCGAGGAATCGTTGAGAGGCCTGTTTGACGTGTTCCCCGGAGGCATTAGGAATATCTGGCTCACACGGGATTTCACGCCTCTCCTCGAAAAAATCAACGAGCGCAAGAAGGTGCACAAGACACTGGAAGAAGCAGAGAGCGAGCTGATTCGTGCCGCCAAGAGAAGGCAACTGAAGGAGGCGAAAGCGGGCAAGAAGAACGAGAAGCGAGCGGACAGAGCGCAGCGCGAGAAAGAGGAAGACAAGGAAGCCCAGCGGCGGGCCGAGGGCTCAGAAGGCTTGAGTGCTAACACCCCGCAAGTACCTCATGGCGTTCATGACGCAGTAGCTGAAGCCGAGCACGAACACGGGGTTGTCAGTGGGGCTGGCCTAGGACTGGTCGAAAAAGAGAGGGCTATTCAGAAGAAGCTTGACGGGCTGTTGGGAAGGACAGGCGGCTTTGATTTTGTCAAGGCTTCCAACCCCCGAGCGTCCTCTCCAACGACGACGGCGGTGACTGACGACCAGGAGACCCCCCGCAAGATCTCCTACGCAGTGGAGGAGGAAGACAGGCCCAAGACCTCGTTCGCATCGGAAGCCCCGTTGCATATCCGCCTGGCTAGGCACGCCCACAGCCCCTCCAACGCTTCCAGAGACTCAGAGACCAAGAAGGATTCCTTTGATCTCCGGGGCTTCGGCAATACGACTCGCAGAGCTACTAACATGGACGAGATGATTGTTACCGAGAAAACGCGATGGTATCAATTCTGGAAGCCGCCAACCGGAAGCTATGCGTCCCCAATCCCCCAAGGTGCCGAAGGAGATGAATACCCGTGGAAGAATGAGAAGAAGTCATTTTGGCAGTCTGTCAAAAGCTCGATACCCTTTCTGGCCGACCCCCCACCGCCGATCGCATATCCGACTGCCTACACGCGCGACTACAAAGCACAACCGGAGGAGGACGCGGAATGGAAGAAATGGATCAAGCCGGAGGAGCGTCCTCGTCACCGGGTGCCCAAGTACGATTGGGTGCCGGGCTGGCTTTCCTTCCTGCCGTTTATCAGCAAGAGAGTGGACACTATCTATTGGTGTCGCGCCGAACTTGCCCGGCTTAACATGGAGATCGAAGAAGACCAGAAGCACCCTGAACGTTACCCTGTCATGAAGTCGGCCTTTATCCAATTCAACCATCAAGTGGCAGCCCACATGGCCTGCCAGTCGGTGACTCACCATATTCCCAAGCAGATGGCGCCGCGCATGGTTGAGATCTCGCCCGACGACGTCATCTGGGATAACATGGCCATCTCCTGGTGGGCCGAGTGGGTGAAACGCACCATCGTCTTCATTATTGTGGCTGGCATGATTGTTCTATGGGCTTTCCCTGTTGCGTGGACTGCTTCGCTCGCTCAGATTGATGCCCTCATCAAACAGTTCAGCTGGCTCTCGTTCCTGGAAAGCAACGAGACTCTCAACAAGGTGGTCAAGGCGGTAGCCGGTGTCTTGCCAGCTCTTGTCCTGGCGCTTCTTCTCCTCCTCGTGCCTGTTGTATTCGATGTTTTGGCGGGTTGGCAAGGTGCAAAGACTGGTTCGCGCAAGTCCGAGATTGTCCAGATCTACTACTTCACGTTCCTCTTTGTTCAGGTCTTCCTTGTCGTCTCGATTGCGTCCGGTACTTTCCAGACCATTGCCAATGTCTCGTCCAACATCACCTCCACGCCCAACATCCTCGCCGAGAACCTTCCCAAGGCGGCCAACTACTTCTTCGCATACATGATTTTGCAAGCTCTCTCGACAAGCTCGGGGACTCTCCTGCAGATCGGCACCCTCTTCGTCTGGTATATCTGGGCCAGGATGACGGACAGCACGGCTCGAGCAAAGTGGACTCGTAACACCCAACTGCCGACCGTCAACTGGGGCTCTTTCTTTCCCGTATACACCAACTTTGCGTGTATCGCCCTGATATACTCTGTCGTGGCGCCTCTGATCTCCATCTTTGCCATCATAACATTCAGCCTTCTCTGGGTTGCCCACCGGTACAATATGCTCTATGTCACGCGATTCAGGACGGACACGGGAGGCGTGCTGTATCCGCGGGCGATCAATCAGACGTTTACCGGGCTCTACGTCATGGAACTCTGCCTTATCGGCCTCTTCTTTCTCGCCCAGGACGAGAACGAAGTCAACTCGTGCATACCGCAGGCCATCATTATGATTGTGGCCCTCATCCTGACCGCTCTCTACCAGTACCTCCTGAACGACTCTTTTGGGCCGCTACTTCGCTACCTTCCCATCACCTTTGAGGACGAAGCGGTGCTCCGTGACGAGGCGTTCCAACGTGCCCAGGCCAGGCGACTCGGCCTGCTCGACGACGATGATGACGAAGCCACCTCCCTCAACCGAACAGGGGCGGTGCGTGACGACATTGAGTTGGAAAAGCTGGGCGGCAAGACGCCCGGCAGGAGTGGCACGGTGCTCGGCAAACTCAATCCGGTCAAGGGGATCGTGCACGCGGGGACCTGGGCGGCGCGCGGCGGCAAGCAGATCCGGAAGGCCACTCTCGGCCGGGCCGAGGACTCGCTCCGCACGGCGGCAGTGTACCGCAAGGAGCGGCGCAAGAAGGACCTTGAGGCGCAGCGCGCCATGGGAGACGCCCTCTACGGCGGCTACTCCGACGTGATTGAGGACCTGACGCCCGAGGAGCGCGACGTGCTGGTGCGCAAGGCGTTTCAGCACTCGGCGCTGCGCGCCAGACGGCCCGTCGTCTGGATCCCCCGCGACGACATCGGCGTGAGCGACGACGAGATCAGGCGCACCAACGACTTTAGCGAGTACATCTCGATTACGAACGAAGGCACTGCGCTCGACAGCCGCGTGCGCGTGCTCTACGGCAAGAATCCACCCGACTTTGCCGAGGTCGATCTCATAAATTTATAAGAGAAGGGAAGGAAAGGGTCTGGCAGGTGGTTGAGATGAGCTGTACGGTGCTTTGTTGCGGTGATAATAATGATAATCATGAGGAGGCGGAGCATTAGAGGAGCAGGAGCTAGGCGTTTCATTGCATGCAAAAGAGTGCATAAAGAACCGAGTGCTGCAGAGCTTGATGCATACAGGAGAGGACAATACCCGGCGTTTTTTGTTGTTTTGGGGGAATTGCGGTGCTTTTCTAAAGGGGGGCCATCAGGGAACTGCATTGCATCTTGCATTTCCATAAAGGCAGTTGGCAGTTGGATTGGAATAGATCTGCATACAATACCGACCTTTTGCCTACCTTCCTAGTTCCGGACTGTCGGGAATCGTCATGCGGCTAGAGGTGTCCAGTCTGCTATTTACGAGCTGGATCATGTGAAGTCTTCACAGGGACATCGGTCACTTGTAAACCCCCAGGGCGGGTTAGGGGTACACTATCCGTACATCCTCGACCGTTACAAAGCTAGCCAGATCCCTTGGCCTTTCACCAGTTGGGACGCACGAAGGGAATGTGCAGGTGGATGGCGGAATCGAAAACCAAGAAAAAAGCCTAGACGCTGTTCCCCATTTGTACAGATTATCTGGTGTGAGTACTCATACATGCCCAGAAGAAGAAAACCCGTATCCTGAAGATCTCATAATTGATTGCATTCAATGTCCCGCCCTTCGGTCCCGATCCTTCGTTCATAACAGACTCAAGGAAAAAAGGATCCAATTTAAACTAAGCAATTCTCTCCTTACCCTCACGCCTGGCGGGGATTCCAATGGCCCTCATCAAGGGGCTCAACAATATCACGCCAGCCAGACACATCAAGGTGGAGGCCAGCTGCAGAGCGCCGGCTGCAGACGCACCGGGCGCAAGGAGCACAAATTTGAGGAACTCGTTTACCTGGTACAAGTCCTCCTGCTTCTCGATGTAGTACCGCACCGGCCTGGCACCGGGCTCCTGCTGCTGCTGGGAATCGAGGGAGGTCTCCTTGTCCTTGGTGGTGGTGGTGGTGGTGGTGCTCCCGCGGGAAGAGGTGGTGCGAGAATGGCCCTTTTTCTTGCTGGCAGACTTTCCCTTCTCCTTGCTATCCTGGTCGGGCGAAGAGGGCTCCGGCTCGGGCTCGCCCGTCGCGACGACCTTTGCGTAGCTCGGTTCGGAGCCCTTTTGGATGTGCTCACGCTTCTCCTGGGCGGCGTCGAAGGCCTGTTCGGGTGTGTGGATGAACTCGGCCATGGTGGACTCGGTTCCCGCAGGGGTGGGAGTGCCGTTGGTGGTGGGTGGGGATGGCAATGCCTGGGGTGAGAGGTGGAGGACGGTGACGAGGGTGACGGGGGCGTGGTGGAAGGGGATGAACCAGATGGAGAAGACCTGGGAGATTTTTATGTATAGCAGATTCGTGCGTTGGTCGAAGACTACGTGGATAATGCCAAACAAGTTAGTTATGGCCATAGTCAAACAGTATAGGGGCGAACGGATATTTGGAACGGGGCTTTACCGCATGATTCAATGTCAAGGTCAATCTTGGGGCTCAGGATTTTGTCTGTCGTGGAGACGGTCGGTCAATGGTTCGCCAATTATCTATGGGACGCGGGAGGACTTACACCTAGAGTCGGTGTTAGAGTCAATATTCCATTGCACCGTTGGGGTTTTCTGGAGGAGAGAGTGACTTACCATTTCAGGATGGCAAGTATCAGCGCCCGGGAATCAAACTCGCCGATTCCTGGCAGCTTCAACCTTTCAAACGACGGCACCCGGCAAAAGGGATGTGAAAAGGATGCGCCAGGGGCGAAGTAGCGATAGACAGCATCTTGCTGCTCGTCTGGGGTGCCTTGGGTGAGGGCGCGAACAACGTGCCTAGCTTCCTTGACTGCAAGGAACAGTGAATTAGCACAACGTCCAACAATAACGTATAGTATACTGTAGCTTTGGTGAAACATGAAGGTGCCAGTGGATGTGGATGACAAGGTAGGTACAAATACAATACCTGGATGCTCCATGGCCGCAAGAAATCCAATTGGAGAGTTGTGGAAATGTTCCTTGCGACAAAATCGAGAAGAATCACTTGAAAGTCAAGAAGGGCTCCCAGCAGCTCAGATGAGCATTGCCTCTGGGTAAATAATAGACAAGGTAGTCTTTCATGTTCAGACCTCTCGGACAGCTGGTGATGTCATTGGTTTCTTAGTGGGGCAGGCGGTTGAGAGCTTGTCATGCTTGTGATCCCACCCAAGCCGCTGTAACACTATTTAGTAGGGGACTACTGTAAGAAAGAGCAACGGCCGGGGCTTGGCAACTGACGACAATGCCCCAAACCGGGCGTCTGTCGCTTGGGTGCCCGCGGAAGGAGCAGACTGAGCAGACAGCAGCTGACAATGATGTCCCATTGACGACGTCCCGTCTTCCTTCTAGCCCACTGCAAATTGAGATGAAAGATCCGTTCGGGCTAAAATCGCAGGGGACCCCGGGGATGGGAAGAAGATGAAAGCCCGAACTGAACCTTCTGTTAATGATGCTTATCACATGTCAGAAACGAACCAACAGGTAACTGCAGTGATATCTGAGGTATCGTACGTACATACATGGCCGGAATTCCTAGGTACAGCAAAGCAGCAGCTACTCGAGCCGGACGTTCCAGAAAATGCCGCCAACGCCGCCCTGCTCCAGCCCGAAAGAATTCAAACCCACCGGCACCGCCATCTAAAGAAGAAAGGGCACTTGTATATCATCAGCTGGCCTCCACTTCATCCGATCTCCAACCACCCTCTGCCTGCCGGCCTCACCTCCGGTGGTGACTACTCGACCTTCTAACCTCAATAATCGGCCCATCCCCACCGGCAAACCGGGTCGGGTCCACTTCTCTATACCCGCTGGACCGCCTCTCCACGCTCCTGACCCTACTCCTGCGGCGGGGCGGGGGTGAGTGCTCTTCAATGACAACGACCTCATCATCACCGCCATCGCTCGACAAGGCCCTGCCCCTTCTAGGCGGCGATGGGGGTACGCGGGTGATGGACGGGCCCCGGCTGAAGCTGCGGCGCCTCTCCTCCACAATGACCCTCTCGGCGCCGCCGATCGGGTGCGCCGACGTCATTTCCTCGACAATCACCTCCCTGGTCCCCCCGCCGCCGGGCCGCCGACTAACTTCAATTGTTGCCTCAGTCCCCCGTGACGAGCGCCGCGCCACTCGCCGCGAATGGGACCGGTGATGCCGCCGACTGTGCCTCGTCACCACCGACGCCGTCCCCTCCGTCGTGGCGTCCCCCGGCGCCCCCAGGTTGATGCACGTGTATACCAGCCACAGCAGCAGCACAAACCCGGCCACGGACCCGAGCGTAATGCCCGCCACCGCGCCCGGGTCTAGCGAGCCGTCGAGGGAGCCGTAGGAGGCTGGGATGGTGGATGTTGTCTGTGCCGGAGGTGGGTTCTGCGTTTGCTGGCGCGGGAGGAGTGGTATGTTGTCGTCGGTGACGGTCGGAAATGGGTCGGGAAAAGGGGCGTCGGCTGGCGGTGCAGCAGCTACTGCTGCTCCAGGGAGTGATGGTGGCCGGGAGCGTGGTCTTCTTTCCGTGGTCGGCGCCATTGTCCTCGGCGGGTCGATACTCCGAGACCTCTAGCGTTTGGGCGAACAATTAACTTCTCAAGTGTAAATCTAAGCCGCTCGCGTTTTGCCGGATGCGAAGCAAGGTGATGCGATACGGTCGCGACAGGAGGCTCGGCGGTCGGGAAGGCGCGCTGAAGGGCGCGGCGCAATAAGACCTCCGCAGAAAGAGGGCTCTGGAATCGAGTGAAATGAAATAGCAGGCACTCCCGTCGGAGTAGGAAAACCACGATAGATCGTGCGCGCGACAATCTCTGGAATCAGGCAGTTGAGAAAATAAGCGCGGGAAAATCCGCACCCTCAAACTTCAGCCTGGTCAGCTTGCCTGTCAATGAGGGCGTCGCAGCGCAGCACGACGGGACGGAGAATGAACCCCGCAATAGGTATCTGGATCGCGTTACCTACACTAGGTACTGCGCAAAGTAAGGCCGAAGCGCGAGCGATGAACACAATGAAAATTTGCTTGATTGGTGCTGACTCCCGCAATTTGGATTCCTTGTATACCGGACAGGCAATGAGGAAATCCTCGCCATTTGGTTGCGAGCCCATGATGGAGGGCGAGCGCGCAGTCCGAGCCGGACAGACAACCGCGCCGCACAGGATAGGGGGGCTGGGAGGGCCAGCCACCCAGAACACCCGGACACGCTAACACAAGGTTACAGGGGCCCAGAAAGTCTTGGCGCAGGAGTGCGAGGACCCATGCAGCCTCGCCTTCGATCTTGAATTGGTGGGTCTGATGGAGAGGAAGCTGTGTTGTACTCCGTATACGTACAATACACGATTTCGTCCATTATCCCAGGCTTGAATGAGAATCCAAAACCTGCAATTGCAGGTCACACAAGATGTCGGATTCCCTTGAGGCTCGCGCCGGGCTTTTTATCCTTCTTGTCACCTTTCTCCTCTTTTTTCTCCTTACGCTCTTTGCGAGCGACGTTTTGGATCCCCCCTAAATACGCACCAAGTCAGCAGTGGGCACCTGAGTATTCCGGGAGAGCAACAACTCACCTCGGCCAAAGTACCTCTCGGCTTGCGGACTCGTCTTCCCAGCCCCATGCGGATCCCCCGGCCCGGACGGCCCTGGCGGAGTCGAGGGACGGTGCGACGGGGCTCCGAGAGAGGTCGACACAGGTTCCAGGGGCGGTGACGAAGCGCTGTAAGGTGTACCATCAGCGATTTCGGGGTCTGAAAACCCGCGATGCGGCCGGTTCCGAATAGCTATTGGGCTCTTAGGCATGGGTGTTGTCTCGGCATCAGTACGGGCTAATGAACTGGATGCGGCGGACTGCAGGTCCAGCAACTGCGATTGAAGGACTGTGAATTTCCTCATGAGGGCGCTGTATTGCTTTTGAAGATCCGTATTCTTCGTCCTGGCCGCCGAGAGGGCGCTTTCGTACACCGCCGCTACATCGTTGGCTGGTTTCCCCTGGTTCTCCCGGAGTGCTTTGGCGAGCTGTGTGCTCAAGTCGTCGATTTGTGCGCGGTAGCCCTCCTCTGCTTGGCGCAGAAGCTCCTCGCGCGCGGCTACCTCCAATGCCATCTGCTCTGCTCTACCCTCTGCAGCCATCGCCGCTTGTGTGGCAGTCTCCATCTTCAACTCCTTGCCCTGGAGGGCGCGCTCCGAGGCCGACAGGCGCGCAATCTCACCCTTTAGGCTCTCAATCATGGCCATGCTGATATCAACTGCCACGAGATTCTGTTCGGATTCGAGTCTCTTCTTCTCCGCCTCTTCGACGATGCGGCGCAGGCTTTCGCATTCCGCATTGGCCCTTTTTAACTGTTCTCGCAACTCGCTACCCTCTGCATGCCACTTCTTCTGCTCCTCTCGCAGTGCCCGCAGCTTGTTCGATAGGTCTGTTTCCCACTTCTTGGCCATGTTTCGGCGGTGATCAAATTCTTTCTTGACCTGTGCCTCTCCTCTCTTAGCCTCATCGAGCCGCTGTTTCAAACTACGGTTCGCCATCACAAGATTCTGGGTTTCGGCCTCTGTGGCTGACACCCTGATTTGCCTCCGGCGCAGCTCCCCCATGTGTATCATGTGCTGCTGCTTGATAAACCTCTCATACTGTAGGTCGTTGATCAGGAGAAGCCGCTGGTGCTGAAGGAGGGCTACCTGATCGCCCAGCTCTGCGTTGGAACCCCCTAATGCCCGCGATGGCTGTGAGCGCGGAGGCTGCGTGGGACTTTTCTCAGCCCCATGCTCCTGAGGGCTGAGAACAAGTGATGGCACGCTATCGTTGGTTAGCGACTGGTGCAGGCCTGACTTGATAACCTTGTTTGAATGAATAAGGTCTTGGAGCTGTGTATGAGACGACGATTGAACGAGGTGTGAGGGCAGGGTCGGACTATCTCCCCCCTGGCCTCGGCTTCGGTTCTCCGACATGTCACATCCCGATCGGTGACTTGATTGCGAGGCGGGTCGCTCAGATAAGACGCTCGGTCGACCAAGGGATAATGGCTTCGGGAGCGCTGGGTGTGACGCATCGGCGTTGCTCGGACTGCCTAGGAGAGCGGACTCAAATCCTTCTTGGTCGGGACCGCCTCCCGTGATTGAGACAGGAGCACCATGGGCAGGCGTGATGGGGCGGATATGGTCATAATCAGGTGTGCGGTCTACATAGAGTGCCATGCAATCAGCGAGAACCTCATCTGCCTCGCTCTTGATCCACCGGCTAAGGTCCGTCTTTTCGGTTTCGATGGTCAGATTGTAGAAATTCGGATGCAAGAGATGTTGTTTCCTGAAGCGTTCCGACCTATCGCGTATCTCCATAGCCTGGACATCGATGTCCTCAGCATTATTCGCATGGCGTAGGTATCTCTGGGGCTTGCGGATGTAGTCGAGGAAGTTGATGGGATACAGTCCATAGAGGATGGTGAAATATTCTGGTAGGTAAGAGAGGGAATGCCCGTCATAGTCTGGATCCAGCAGAGATTTGTCCCAGGGAATGCCAGCCCCGGCTTCCCCGTTGTCGGCACCCATCTCGGTGTGTTGCTGTGCAAAATACGAGTCCCTATCCCAGAAGAGCAACCGTGCGTAAATGTTGAACAAAGTGGGCAGAAAAGGGACCAGTGAGCTGGGTATGAAGGGGAGAATCATGACCAGAGCTATGAGAGCTAGATTGACTGTGGCGGTGGATTCGTCTTTTTGCAGTGAGTGTAATATGTTCACGAAGAGGGGTGTCTGCAGGATGAGATGTAAATGAGGTGGGCCGCTCGACACGAATGCACATAAAAGACCTAGAGCCGAGTTTCGGTGCTCCCTCTTGACCATGAAGCCATTCAGGGCTGTCATGAACCCCTTGGGGTCTCTCTTGCCAAAGGCCATCAACGCCTCTTTAATCATCTGCTCCTTGAGCTCGGTAGAGGAGTTGAGACTCGGTTGGCTCTCGCGGACCTCCATCCACCTGGTAAGTAGCCGGTTGACCAGAGGTAGTAGCCCCTCCTCGCTCCAAGCCGCTGGGTCATTATACTCGTCATCCGCGAGAAGATCGAGCGTATGGTCCATAACCTCCTTCGCTAGGCCCTTCTCCCGGCCGACATGTTCCATTACGGGGTCGAGGAGCCTGTCCCACCACTTGAAGATCCTAGAGGGTGTTCGGAGGCCCGGCCGCAGTTCCCGTAGGATGGCGAGAAAGGCGCCATACTTATCCGGCCGGTCTTTCACAGTTTTCTCCCAGATACCAAGTAGTTCATCGCCTAACCGCTCGCCGGACGCCTCGTCGGGCTTTTCATGCTTTTCAAGGTAGCTGGCGATAATTGTGTGGATTTCGGCGGGAAGGGGCAGGCTGGGCGATTGGAAAAAGTTCCCGAGTGCTCTGGCAAGATCCTTGGAAGACCTGTATCCAAGAGTAAGCTGTCAGAAACTGGGACTCGGGCACCTGGCGTCGGATACAGGAACCAGACAACTGCACACTATCGAGATGATCGACTGAAGCAGTTCGGGAGAGCGGACTTACCCGGATGAAGTCATCCTGATCGAGATAGCGGATGGCACATTGGGAAAAGCCTTGTGACAGGTGGCGTAGCTAGATCAGTGGTGGACAAGCAAGTAATCTTTGTGCTCCCCTTGAGAGGTTTCAATTCCGGTTGCAAGATTTTCGCAGATAGAACGGACGCATCCAACTCCAGAACCCTGCACACCGGCTTCAGTCACCAACAAATCGAGCTTGTTTTTGTTGTCCTATGTTAGGTTGAGCAGCTGTCGGCTCCACAGGTCTGGGCACGCTAAAATTCGGGCATCCACCATGTGACCCAGCAGGGCCAGCTACCCATGCTTGAGCTTTGCGGTTGCAGGCTGGCGGGTCTAACTCCGCATTTTTGAAGCGTAATGTGGGGCTTGACCCCAGGCGCCAAGTGGACTGCCAGAGCCCGCGGATCGTCTGATGCATGGTCTGAGAGAGTTGAGACAGGCCCTCGGCGGGGCTGTCCTTTGAGAGTGTGCTCTCCTCCTCCCGTGACTCGTGCTGCAGTGAGCATCGAGGCACAAAACACGTATTCTTTTATACCAGCAGTACCTTGCCCAGCCCAGGTCTGTCTTCCATCTCTTGGACACATCTCTGCAAAATCTCACAGTGAATCTGCACCACTTTCATCCCCATTCTCTTACACGAGTCAGCGACAGGGCCACCACAATCCGTTGCCCAAGATGGCCAGTAAGACGTCTGCAGTGGCAGACGAGCCCATTGATGTGCTCTTTGCCCTGCATCCCAAGTTCAACCTCATGGACTTTGCTGGTCCGCTGGAAGTTCTGACAACTGCACTACACGATGCTAAGGACCCTAGTAAGTTTCCAAGTTGAGGCTTTCTACCCAGCGGCCTGTCGCCCAGCGGGCCAACAACAGCTGGGCGTCTCTGACTGCACCACAACCAAGTATACGGCACACGCTGACAAGCTTTTGGCAACCAGCTTCCAAGGCCTTCGAAGTTACCATTGCCGCGGGCGAGCCCAAGGTCCTCTCGGAGCAGGGTGTCATAATCGGCTCCCAGATTTCGTGGAAAGAGGCCCACGAACGTCTCGACGATTTTGACGTCCTCGTGGTCCTTGGCGGAAACACTGAGCCCGTCCTGAAGGAAAAGGCCGAGCCGCTCGACTTGATCTCCGCCTTCTCGGAACTCCAGAAGAACGACCCCAGCCGGGAGCGCACACTGCTCTCCATTTGCACGGGAGCCCTGTTCCTGGCGCAGCAGGGTATTCTCTCGGGCCTCTCGGCCACGACCCATCCCGACTTCATTACCAGACTAGAGATCCTGTGCAGTCAGGCGACCGCCCGTGATTTGGGCGAGCATACCGACGTCGTTGAAGACGCCCGTTATGTGGTAAACAATTTGCGCTTCGACCTCGGAGATGAGGACGAGAATCCGTACATTCGACGCAAATCGGACGCTAGCCGCCCCGCCAACGCCAGGTAGCTGCCTTCATGCCACTGCAAGCATAGGGAACTTACTAACACGCTGCACAGGAAGGGATCCATGTCCTTCAAGGGCGCTTCACGTCGTGAGTCCATTGCCCGCCGCGCCGCGATGCGCTTGGGTGGCCTTCGTGTCATCACAAGTGGGGGAGTAGCCGCTGGCCTAGATGCAGCTCTGTATCTGGTCAGCGTCTTGGTTTCAGATGAGAGTGCCAACGAGGTTGCCCGTCACATGCAGGTGAACTGGACTAAGGGCATCGTTGTCGATGGTCTTGATGTGTAAGAAGAACAGGCTCTGGAGTCCAGCAATAGCGCCGTGCTGTTCGCATAGATTATGGTACTATGACCTGAGAACGGTCAAGGACAGCCGCAGGCTGTGAGCGTTCAAAATCCACAAGATTTGGGTGAAAGCAGACGAGGGTTGAATGTTTCAATGAATTGCATGCGGACCTCAGTGTAATTTTTCGTGAAATTTTGCATTTCCTTGCATTGGAACGGGGCACCTACTGTAATTACACTGATATGTACTGTACTGTACAGTACCTTCGTACTAAGACGGGATATGCATTGGTACAGTACAACCCTGGTTTGTTTGTTAGCGCGGAACTCACGACAGGGGTCCTGGTCCTAAGCTCAAAATCGATGCATCTCAATAGCTATAGGGAATGTTTCAACGCAAAAAAATAAAGTATTGAGAAGCTATAGGATAGCCGTTTTATTTGTCTGTCTTGCTTGTGAAAAAAATGGCTGTTGTTCTGTCGAGATTTGAAGTTTGAGGTTGAGCCATGTCCTCAAGTCAGGCGCTAGCGAACAAACCAGGGGTGCATTGTACGTTACTTGTCTGTTACCGATACGTCGGGGCTTCGTAAGAACAGATGCTGTGATCTGTCAGCCCGATCAATCAGTTGTTAACGGCCCGACAGCAAACACGCTCACCCAAAATCTAGCTCGAAAGAATCTCGACAAGACCTGTTGGAGCAACTGTCGTCCAGAGCCGTGCACTTGAATACACAAATGCGCTGGCGCTATGGCATCCGCAGCAACATCAGTCACTGAGGCAGTAGCCCAACTTCCGCGCAAATTCGGCACGAAACAAATCTTCCTGTGAGATAGTTGCTATCCTAACCCTGATCAGAGACCCCATCCGGGCGTTCGGCGCGAACTAATCCGTCAAACCGCAGACCAAACCATGTCATTGCCTTCATCCGCCCCAAACCTAGGCAGCCGCCGAACCTCGCGACGTTTGTCGTGCCGCTCCAGTTTAACAAGCTCGACTTGCGTGACTATCTCTTCCACGCTTACAATGTCGAGGTCAACGGCGTCCGTTCGTTCATCAACCAGCCCGCGCCGAGACGCAAGGCGGGGAGGGGCAAGTGGTACCGTCCACGTGCGCAAAAGATGATGATCGTTGAGCTCGTCAAACCATTTGTCTGGCCGGAACCCCCGGCCGAGAGTGAACGGAAGGACTTCGACTACTCCATCTTCAAAAACATGCAGAAGGCGAGAGACGAGGACACCAATAGACGGGTGGATCCATCGAACATCCCGCTACGGACACAGACACCGATGCCCAGGCCGCGGGTTGGGTTGATTGCGCAGGCGGAGCAGTTCCTGAAGAATGGAGTTGAGTGGTCGAATGGGAAGACAGGCGACGACAAATGGACCGAGGTGGAAACGGATGTAAAAGTATAACATACGTGTGGGATATATGTATGGATTGCGGTTGTGAGTTGCCGGGTAAGAGGAGTGGGCGGATCTTGGAGATCAGGTCCAGCATGCTGACTCACTGGGAAAGGCACCGATAGGGATCAAGCCAAGGAGGCGGGATGTATTATATGCCCTAGAGTTGAATACACTGTACTATTACGATCAAGATCATTCCCTGTCCCACCGCCCTCGTCCTCTTCAACCCAGCACTCCTTCCGCTGGTAATGCAGTACCTGATCCCCCAAGGCCCCTAGTACAGTGTCAGTTATGTCTCTCCTTGTACAAGAATTCCAAAGGGCCGTTCGGGAGCAAAGCAGCCGGTGACCTGCAGGTAAACAGCATAGAAGGTCACTCACACCACCCGGCAGTAAGGTTCCTGGCGAACACCTCGAGTGCCTCGTAGCCTTCAGGCAACAAACCTTCCTCACCCTCAAACAGTCCCCGTAAATTCGGCTTCCGCGAGTGCACATCCGGCACCGAGACAATCACCTTCCCCCGCACCGCCCCTGCCTTTCCCGGCCCGCCAACCCCTCCTCTCCCGCTTACCTTGTTCCTGGCGATCAACAGCCGCTCCCACGGCTTCCTCCACGCAGAGTCAATAGCCACCACTGGCTCCCCTCCCGTCGTGACCTTGACCCACGTCCACTCGCCCACCAGCTCGACGCCCCACTCGGCAAACACACCGTCGCCGCCGCCGCCAGAACTGCCTCCTCCTTCCCGCCGCGACGATGACGACGTCGACGGGCGGAGCAGCAGGTCGGTGAAGCGCGGCGCGTTGGTCACCCACACGGCCACGAGCCCGTCGGCGGCGAGGTGTGCGGCCACGGGGACCGAGGAGAGCAGCACGCGGATCGATCGCAGGTCCGCAGCCGGTTGGTAGCTGCCGCGGCCGCTGCCGCTGCCGCAGCCTCCGCGCTTGCGCTTTGCGGAGCGGTTCGGCCAGGGCGGGTCCAGGATGATGAGGTTGAATTTTGGCGCTGCGCGGAGGAAGGCTGCGCGCTGGGACTGGATCGTGCCTTGCAGGAAGTGAGAGGCTGCGGGGAGGTGGTAGCGGTCTTGAATCTCTTGATGCTGGGGTTGCTGGTGATGGTCCGCCGGCTGATCGGGACCGGGTGTGGGATGGGGATTAGGAGGAAGCTCGGCCGGGGCTGCCGGCGATTGGTGTGGAGTGACACGCGGACTGTGGTCCGGAGCCCGAGGTTTGTGTTCTGGTTGAGAACAGAGACGGGGCAGGCACCAGGGGCCTGAATAGCATTTTCCAATTTCGTCCAGAGCTGACTGTGCAGCTGCCGTGGTCATGAGTTCAGTTACTTGCGCCGCAGGCGAGAGCAAACCCGGCTGTCCGGACCCACCGGCCTTGGGCTCCGGAGTCGGGAAGGGGCTCGCCGGCGGCAGCGTTGAGATCAGCCTGCGGAGCTTCCCGTGGGGTTCCGCAGCCAGCTGACTGGAAGGAACCTGGGCTTCTTCAATTGACCTTGGAAGATCCAGTAGCACGACACTGTTTTCCTCATTTTGCCAGAGGATCGAGGACGGCCTCATTTCGTGGAGGCTATAGCCGATGGCATTGGCCGCCAGGAATTGGGTCTCGATATTGGTAGGTTCCGCATCGCTGGATCTGGGGGCATCTTGACGCTTGACAGTGTCGCGTGATCGCTGGTTGGCCCGTTTCGTGGGGCATGCCGCATTTGTAAGGGGTTCAGCGGGCTTAAGCCGGGGTTTCGGTAATCCTCGGCTTCGCCGGGGGTGGGGGACAGCGGAAGCCCAAAAACTGGCTGCCGTCGGCGAGAAATGACGTTTCCGGTCTTGTATTTCCGGCTTTTGGAGCGTTCTGTTCTCTCACCTTCCATCTTCAACATCCACGCTTGCGCCCGCCATTCACGCAGTCAAACACTACGATACCCGTTATTCTGGGATTCAAAACACCGACGAGGACAGAAGCCGCCCTACGCTCACGCAAGACGATCATTTCGGATACCTGGAGCTGCGCAATGCGCGTATAGCCACACGGCTTCATCCCTTCCATCCGACCCCTTCTAGCCTCGTCGCACACGGCCGAGGGAACTTTCCCCAGCGCGGGCATGCCCCCGGCCCTCATGAGCCATGCCTCCATGCCGGAGGTGTCGTCGTCGCACCATGTTTCCCAGCAGACTGTTGATGTGCCCCGCGCGGCGGTAGTCACAACGAGGGATCCCGCCGTCTGTCCCACCGACGAGGAGGCGCAGATCCACCACAGAACTGCATCCAAGGACAAGAGGAGCCTAGACTATCTGTGGAGGTCTGGTATTGCAGGTGGCCTAGCAGGTTGTGCGGTACGTCGTTCAAACGCCAGGGCGCATAAAGACGGGCATTGGAAGCACTGGAAGCACTGACACCACCTCCTCAGGCCAAAACGGTGGTCGCACCGCTTGACCGAGTAAAGATTCTCTTCCAGACCCACAACACGCAATTCGTAAGGTACACAGGGTCTTGGCTCGGGGTCTCTGAGGCGATTAGGGACATATACCGCCAGGATGGACCCGTGGGTCTCTTCAGAGGCCACTCTGCTACTTTGTTACGGATATTTCCTTACGCAGCTATCAAGTTCCTGGCCTACGAGCAAATCCGGGCCGTGGTTATCCCTAAAAAAGAAAAAGAAACACCATTTCGGCGACTCATTAGCGGGTCCTTGGCAGGCGTCACGTCAGTCTTCTTTACGTACCCCCTCGAGCTCATCAGAGTGCGGCTTGCGTTTGAGACGAAGAAGGGAAGCCGGTCAACGTTGCGGTCGATATGCAAGCAGATCTACCACGAGCACCATAGCGCGAAATTGCTGCCGGCAGCAGACGTCGCTGGTGCCGCAGCTTCAGCGCGCGCTGCTACAGTGGCCACGGCCGCACAGTCCATCACACCCACTTACGGACTGGCCAACTTCTACCGCGGCTTCTCCCCTACACTCCTCGGCATGCTCCCCTACGCCGGCATGTCCTTCCTAACTCACGATACTGCTGGCGATATTTTGCGCCATCCGAGCATCGCTCGGTATACGACGCTTCCTAGGCCGGAAAATTCGCCAGAAGGGAAGCCCGCACCGCTCCGTTCCTGGGCTGAGCTGCTGGCGGGTGGAGTTGCAGGACTCGTCTCGCAGACTGCATCATATCCCCTAGAGGTGATTAGGAGAAGGATGCAGGTTGGCGGTGCTGTTGGCGACGGGCGCAGGCTGCGCATCGGCGAAACCGCCGCCCTGATCATGAGGGAACGCGGCTTCCGAGGCTTCTTTGTGGGGCTGACGATTGGCTACGCCAAGGTCATGCCCATGGCGGCGGCGGCTTTCTACACGTACGAGAGGCTAAAGACATGGTTCGGCATCTAGACTGTTTTCTTTTGTATCCTTCTAGCCAAGCACAAGACCGGCGTTTGGGTGGCGTGTTGTTTACTGTGCATGTTGGCCCAGGAGGTGTGTCTTGTTTGAATCTACAAGAGGCATCGGGTGGCTGTTTGACAACCGGTTTGGTTACATTAGAACGAACTACTAGGTATTCGGTTGCAAGAAGAGTTTTCCTGCCCATTTAGGATCTACCTGTGCATCACAGTGATTTAGGTCGGCTCGCCTAGGTCGCATGTCGGTTAGGAGGCAGTTTGCGAGACAGGCCGGCCATCACGGTGTCCGTTTCGCATCATGTCTGGCTGACTTCATATGCCACCATTTCCTTGTATTGGCTCAAGTCGTGCACTTCCTTCCTAGTTTGCGGTCGTTTGCCCATTTGGATGGAGGCCGCGACGTCCGTTAGTGCAAGCCAGAAATTTGTACGCAAAAATCGTCCTCTCTACTACCCCTCTTAACAGAGCCTTCGGTCTGATCATGGGGGCCCGGATTAATGATGGAAGCCTAGAGGACGCAGGCCTCACCCTAACCTTTCCTTTACGAGTGCCCTTTCCATGAGTGACTCGTGCCTCGGTGGTCACTGCTTGTTCGGGAGTTTGGTCTGCTCCCGGACGTCTCTACCACGGCAAGAGCGATGTGCATTAATCCGGGATGTAGTCAACGATCACTGGCTCTCTGCCAGCAGGAGACGAGTTCGCCAATCCTCTCGCAGAATTGATTCGAAGCATTGCAACGCAAGCGTTCTCGTCCCAGAGGGAGAATACAAAAATGAAAACATCACGCTCCAGGCCCGAAGATGCTGGCCAATTCATAAAGGACCCCTTAGGCCACTTCCTAGCCATGCCGTGGGCCGCAGCGCTTCTCTTGGACCCGGCAACAACGGCCATTGTTGTGCCTGACAGGAAGCCGCTGCCGTCAGGCGCGAGGAGTCTGGTGAACTGCATCTTGAACAGCGCCACAACGGTGCGCGCGTGCGTCAGCTACTGGCAGTCGCCGCAACTGCTGGCCCAACGGTCGGCAGAGTCTCAACTCTCAGGGGCAACGGAACCGGCGTCAGCGGGTGGAAGACATGGCAACCATGTGTCGTCACGCCAGGCGCTTCTCCAAGAGAGCGGGCCCAAGATCAAGGAGGACACCAAGACGCAGCCGTGTTTGCTCTTCAATGCGCTGCTGGATATCGGGGAGCAAATGTCGGGCTTTGAGGGGACGCTTCATGGTGGCGCTACGGCATTGTTTATAGACGAGGCGATGGGCAGCGTGGCGGGCGGCAAGTCTCCTTTCGCAGTCTCTCTGAAGCTTGCTCGATACCAGGAAGGCCAACTAAAGCTAACGCAACCATGGTATGGCACAGATAAGGCTGTTACAGTGCAGATCAATACCAACTTCCGGAAAACCATCAACTTGCCCCAGGTTCTTCTTGTCAGGGCCAGAGTTGTCAAGAAAGAAGGTCGTAAGATCTATGTGAGGGCTTCAATCGAGAATAAGGACGGTGAGTGTTCTCGTTTGTCGAAGCCGGCCCATGGCTAAACTGAAGGTCGAACAGGTAATATCATGGCCGAGAGCGACGGTCTATTCATCGAGACGGACGATGGGAGAACCAAGCTCTGATGCCTGGAGAGGGATTCGATCTGGGTTTCCTGGTAGTTAGTGCAGTGTATACAAAGATTCGCCCGTTTGAGTTCTCAATCAGCAACAACGACAATCAATGCGATGTTATGGACGTTATTCATAGTACGGACCTACGTGGACTGTTGATGAAGTTGGGGAATGTGACAGCCTTACAGGCCTTGATGCAAGGCTACCTCCCCTGAACCACATCCCATTGGCCACACCCATTGAGCGCTGCGCGGGCTCCACTAACTAATTTTAGACCCACTCTCGACACAAATGCACTGTGAAGCAAGAAAGTTACAGTACATTACGCGCTTGGCAGCCAGAAACGCGCCTGCTGCGTAAATACCTCCGTAGCGGGCCTTCAATTTTCAAGAACCTCATTCACAGACTGCAGCCTCGAATAAAAACTTCAAGCATTTATGAAATGTCAACACACGCAACGGCAAACTATTCCTGTGGTTTCGTGTCGTTGTATTCTCTCAGATGATGGCAGGCCGCAATGACGCCCTAGCGAACAAACGACGTTTACGGTCACAACATGGAGAGGAGCCCTCATCAAGCGTTTCCAAGAAACGCCGCCTTGAGTCGTCGGTCGGACTGCCCGTTAGCGCTGCTGCTGCGACGAGCTCTAAACCTCCGCAGCCAGATGGATTCATGAGTCGGAGGCGCCGCAAGGCAGCTGTGGACTCATATGAAGTTCCAGATTCAGATGAGGAACAGGTGGAGCAGACGGGGCAGCCTGACCACGATGACGCTGCGAAACCCCAGAAATCACAAGCCCAGGCTAGCCGTCGAAAAGCTAGTCTCTACGACCTGCCACACTCGTCCGAGGATGAACTAGGTTCTTCGGCTGTGCAGCCACGTCCTGGCCGGCATCGGCCCACCAATGCTGCCGTTGACACATCTGGGGTGAACGGCATTGGCCGTGCCTCGCTCGCGAATGAAGGCAAGCTTGAAAACAAGAAGCGTGGCGGGCATACGAAGCGAGATCACGAAGCCAAGGCTGGTGAGCTGTCACGGACCGAAGATGAGGAGTCCAAGGATGTTGCCCCGCCACCCGGCAAATCTATTTCCGAGACGCGTCGGTCGAGACGCGCGCCAAACGGCACGTCAAACAAGGTTTTACCAGTACCTAAAGGGATCTTGACGCCTCAAAAGGGCAAGAATGCCAATAGTGACCGACAGAAGAGCGTAGTATTCGATCGCGGGCTAGAACGGGACTCTTTGGGCGACATAGCGGCTGGACCGCCATCTAAATTGGCTAACACACGCAAAGGCCGATCACGAGCAAAAGTCACGGACGAGCTTCAGGTTGATGATGAACTTCAGAATGATATACAGGCTGAGCATGAAGACGAAGAACCCGGTAATGACGAAGAGGATGACGACGAAGTATGCACCATCTGTCTCAAGCCCGACTCGGAGGAGGGCAACCAGATTGTATTCTGTGACGGCTGCGACGCCGCTGTACATCAAGAGTGCTACGGCCTCTCGGACATTCCTAAAGGGGATTGGTTCTGCCGCAACTGCTCGCAAAATGGCGCAAGCTCCACCACTAAGCCAGGATCGAAGGGAACCGAGCCGTGTGTAAATGCACAGGAAGATCAGAAGCCCGATATCCCGAATTTCGATCAACATCTCCGGTCGATGCAGCGGGTGCTGCTCGATCGTTGCGCGGGCAGGCGTTGGATCAAGCTGCGAGGGCAAGATGAGGCATATGAGAAGGCTTACCAGCTTGTGGAGCAGACAGTTGTTGCGGGAGAGGGCAACTCAATGTTGGTGATAGGTGCTCGCGGTTGTGGGAAGACAACGGTAGGGTGCCCCGTCGACTTCTCGGTCTACGGAGAGCTGATCATGATTGCAGCTTGTAGAATCCGTCATCGCTGAAATGTCCGGGCGTCACCAAGATCAGTTTCATGTTGTGAGGCTGAACGGGTTCATTCATACTGATGACAAGCTGGCCCTGAGAGAAATCTGGCGCCAGCTTGGCAAAGAAATGGAAGTTGAGGACGAGCTCGTCAATAAGGTACATATCATTGATCTGGACGCCCGTACTTGACACTGACAGCGGGTAGACCACCAATCATGCTGATACAATGGCATCGTTGCTGGCCCTGCTATCGCATCCCTCAGAGATAGCGGAGGGGCTAGACGGGGTAACCTCCAAATCGATCGTGTTTGTGATGGACGAGTTTGACCTGTTCGCTACACACTCCAGACAAACCCTCCTCTACAACCTTTTTGACATTGCTCAAGCTCGAAAGGCGCCGATTGCTGTCCTCGGGCTGACAACCAGAATTGATGTGGTGGAGAGCCTCGAGAAGAGGGTCAAAAGTCGGTTTAGCCATAGATATGTGTACCTCTCGCCGCCAAAGAGCCTGCCTGCGTACTGGGATGTATGCAGACAGGGACTGATTATCGACGACGAGGATATGGTGGCAGAGGGTATCGACAGGAAATTACAGGGTCACGGCGCCTTTTGGGATTGGTGGAACGGCAAAATCGAGGTGAGATTTGGCTTTTGTCCCTATGTCTGCTGGTGCGTATATGACTTTGCTCACTAGTCTACAGGCCCTTCACAAGACGCCGGAGTTTACAGACCACCTAGAAACACATTTCTACAGCACCAAATCTGTCCCGGCCTTTCTCACGACCTGCATCCTGCCACTCGCAGCACTTTCTCCTACGACGCTGTCGCTACGGATAGCCGGGCCGTCGGTATCTAACGTGTCACTGGAGGCGCCGGACTCGAAGCTGCACCTCCTTGGGTCGCTCTCGGATTTGGATTTGTGGATGCTTATCGCGGCTGCACGGCTGGACATTGTGGCGCACACAGACACGGTCAACTTCGCCATGGCGTACGATGAGTACACGTCGCTCATGAGCAAGCAGCGGGTTCAGTCGGCGAGCTCCGGCATGCTCGCGCTGGCCGGAGGGGCGCGGGTATGGGGTCGAGGCACGGCAGGCATGGCGTGGGAGCGTCTCGTTACTCTAGGCCTGCTTGTGCCGGCGGCGGCGGGCGGCAGGGGAACGGCCGGCTTGGGCGGGTTAGATGCCAAGATGTTCAAAGTGGATGTCGCGCTCGAGGAGATCCCAGCAGCGGTCAAGTTGAATGCCGTCATGTCGCGGTGGTGCAGGGAGATCTGACCAGGCCTGACCGGGACGCCGGATGGCCCCCCAAATGAAACAAACAATAGTATCTTACATGCTGGATAACGTTACAACATATGTGGACTGTACATACAAGCCAAACGGCCAACCGGGTGTTCCCAAGTTCTTCCTACCTCTACCACGGGTGTCGGATGGCTGGCTCAGATGCTTAGCGCCTATCAATAATCGCATCTCATCCGATCTCACCCCTTTCCGAAAGGCGGAAAGCCTTGTCCAGAGGGCTGGGTAGGTGCTGTACCGCTGTACATACAGTACTCTACGTAACCCCATACGTTACAGTACACAAAACACACCTCGTTAGACCCGGCACCCGGCGGTCCTCCCAGCCGTCGGGTCGGGGGACCTGGATGTCATATTCCCGCGCTATTTTTAGGACCTGCTGCCGCAAGCCGCAACCCGCCCACGTGTTTGGGTCGCAACGTCTGGGTACCTAGTGTACCGGTAGTGTTTGTCGGCGACGATGCTATGTACTGTAATGCTAGATCAGGAATGCGCCACACCTAACAATAACGGCCTCTCTTGCACCGTCAACGGATTCTGCGTAGCCGATGTGCTGCGCCGCTTCCTTTGTCATCGCACCGTTGGGTTGATTGTATACACAAAGTGAGAAGAGTGAGATAATTATGTCGAGGGAGAAATTGAACATGTCTTTGTCTCGCTTTCTTTGGCAAAACCGAAACTGGTGCTGTTCCTGCGGCAGATCATCTCCAGGATATACTAGACTCCAAGAACGATAAGCCATGTCGAAACGCAGTGTCTTCACTACTGTCACGCCGCTACCATCCGGCATCACGCGCCAGATCGTCCTCGACTTCCTCCATAACCATGAGGAGATGATCGACCTGAACCCGCTGGTCAAGGAGCGTCATCCGATCCCAACGCCGCCTCATGCAGCGGCGGACGAGCAAGATTGCCAATGGTACTCGCTGACGGACAAGATATCCTACCTGCCTGGAGGGCTCGTAACAGGCGATGTCACGTATACCTGCGCATTCCACGATCTGCCGACTGGCCTGCAAACACACTGCTATGCGCCAGCCGGCCTGAGTAAGTCCAAGCGCGCAAAATAGGAGGAATGCATACAATGCATACAATGCATACCCATCCAGTGCGCTGCTTCAGCTGACCTGTCTCATCTTGTCAAAACAGCCATCCGCGACAAATGGACCGTCGGCGGTTCCCTCCCGAATGAGCCTCCCCAGCCTACCGAGCTTGGCCTCAGGGCGCCACCAACAGGGCTCTACCTGCGTGAAGACGTCGACATGCGGTGCAATGTCATCATGGCGAGCTTTGTCAAGAAGACACTCAAAAGGTCGCACGCTGCGTTGGTGGAGCAGCTAACCATCAAGGCCGAAATCGCCAGTTCTAGCAGCAGCCGGGGCAACGGCAGCTCTTCCAAGTTGGTGCCTCTGTCGACCATCAGGAGCAGCTCGAGTCGGCCTAGCAGCGTCATTGACCATGATCACTACCTGCCTGCATCCGCCCCAAGCAGCCACGCAAGCTCTGCCGCATCCTCCCCTTCGTGCTACAGTGTCCAGAGCAGCGCATTGTGGTCACCATCGGCCACAACCAGCCTCGGCACGAGTCCCGCCTTGTCGTCCAAGAGCCCGCCTACAACGTCCAACGGTTTCCAGCGCCAGTATCAGCCCGTAATGGCACCATCAGCGTCGCCAGGCAAACCTTTCTTTGCGCAGCCTACGACGGATGTCAACGAGTCGACTGAAGAGCCAGATACACCCTTCTTCCGCCAACATCAGCCCGACTGGCCAATGAAGACGTCAGCTGGTCCTCATGAGCGGCCGCCGAGTCACATCCAGCCATACTATCCTCCTAACTACGACTTTACTGAACAAGGGTATCCAACTTCTCGAGGGGCGCCAAGTCGTGTTTACGATCGAGGCGGCTTAGAAAATGATGCTCTCTGGAAGGCCCTAGGCGGCGGACGATTCTCTGTGTATGATAGAGACAAGCAGAGTGGCAATGGCAATGGCAATGCCAACGCCACTGCCACGGCAAGCACCCGAAATCCGAGTAATAACCGGAACCGTAGCGAGAGCCATCCGGATTATCCGCAGTTGAACCCGTACGACGATGAGAACAACACCAGGTTCGCTCCGCGTCTGGCTGGGGGGATGGAGCGCGCCATGATGCCGCTGCCGCTACGCATACATGGTGCTCCGCGGGCGGAACTGGGCTCCAGGTTGAACGCGCCTTTCATTGCTGAGATGGAATGAGGGAAGTTGGCGTTTTTAAAGGCTCAGCCAGGGGCTGCTGCATTATTGGGATTGCATAGTTGGAGCGTCACGGTCAAAATCGCATTGATGATCATACCCTTAGTTACTGAGGAAGAGAAATGATATTTTCTAGCAGCTACGGTCCTGTCTTCCCTAACGTTACTATCTATTGCCAGAGAACTGTTGAGCATATCAGACATTGTGAAACCTCCCAGGCCTATCATCTCTGTCCAGAAGCCTTCCCTTTCTCATGGCTACATCCCAAGAGGAAAAAACTAGGTGAAGCTAGCAATATACGTACGCTATTCGACATTTCCAACCAACAAGCCAATGTCCACGCCCCAAATCATCCCGGCTTGGGCAGTCCTTTCAAATCAGGAGCATCAGCGAAGGACGATTAGATTGTTGCAACAGCCCGGAGTTTAGGTCAATGGGCCGGGTCCGGAGATTGAATGGGAAGGGTGTTGCACTGGGCTGGTACATGGTTTATGCCATCTCCTAACTGTTGGATCGTTCGGAAACGCAAGGCGCGTGTGCACCCTAGCTGAGGTACATAAACATATACTACTCCGTACATAGGTATGTAACAACGAAAACAAATACCAAGAAAGGGCGGTGATTGCTATAACAATACGTGAGTTCTCAAGCTATGCCGTATACGGTAGCAGGGAACGCCGGCCCATGGTGATACCGCAAGGCATCGCCTTTCTCCTGTTGCAAAGGCACGAGTTGTTGGCACAAGCACACCTGACCTAGCTGGATATACTATTTTATTTTTTTTCCCATTCGCTAGCTCCCTTCAAGGGGTCATGAGCTAGCACTAAACCGCGCCTTATTTTGAACCCTCTCCTCATTAACGCTTCCTTTCCCCCGACACTATGCTTGCATCCGACGCCACACCCCATGCTTCTCAAGAAACGGGTGCCAACCAACTTCTCGGGAAAACCGCCCATGGACAACCCCGTTTCACCTCCCCAGCGCGATTGCTTCGTGCTACATGGAACGCCTCTCGGGTATCCCGACCTCCGTCAACCACATGATAGAGAGTGAAGGAAAAAGATGACGTGTATATGCCGATGACCAACTCTTCCGTCTATGTCACCACCCTTTGAAGAACGCCATGTATTGAGTCTCGACATGTCAAAGGAAATAGTGATTACAAAATAGCAAGAGCAACCACCGAGGGTTATAAAGCAGTGAGACAGCCTTACAAAGCGTCGTCCTTATGCACAAAGCAAAATCCTGCTGGCCGGCCCAGCCAGATTATGAGGGGGCGAGCATGCCGAAACCACGCTAATGATAGCGCTTAGAAGAAGTCATTTCGGACTATGGGTCCCTGGTCCCGCGTCCTGCTAGGACCGAGACGATCGCAGCCGCATCAACGAGGGCCTTCTGGACAGTCAGCTGCGGTTGGATCTGCTCTGGCTTCGCTCAGGAACACGCCCTTGAGATGGGTTGGTCGAGACGGCATCAAAGTCGTAATTTTTAAGCGTCTGCTCGTATTTCGGGCTCCGGAGGAACTTTGGAACAGAATCCTATCTGCACGTTAGCCCTTGTTCTCGCATGGCTCTGCAGGGGGGAGAGACTTACGCTGGCCATCAGCTTGAAGACAGCGTTTTGAGCATCCTCAAACAAAGACGTGACTTCATGTAGCGTGTCGATCATGGCAACATCTTGCCCAACTGCTTTGGTCATCCGAGTCGCCAGGTTGTTTCGCAACTGGTGGTCAATGTTGAGCTCGCAAGGGGAACCAGGAGCCAGGAAAGCGTTGTAAATGCCATATGCTTGCGCCATAATTTCCTTGATCCCGTCCAAGGACGATGCATTGCTGGGGTTCTTCTGCGCGGACCGGATGGCCTGCCTGCACTGCCGGACAAAGTCGTCGACGTCGAGATAAAAGGATAGGTTCTCTTCGCAATGAGTCTCACGCAGATTCTCGCGGAAGAGTAAACGCAGAGCCGGGTCATTCAGTATTTTGTCCAGCCGTTGCGTGTTGGAATCTCGGGCAATTCCGGCGGACCGCGATCCAGGTACGCCCTCGCTCTCTGATGCCCGCCCTCTAGCTACGGCGCCGTTAATGATATCCCGACCTTTTGCTGAGACCTGGTAAATGGCGTGCTTTGTGGGCTGGAAAAGATTGTGGGCCGGATACTGGGCCATATGGGCCCGGTCTTGTTGTACAGCTTCCATGAGTTCGTATTCGACGAAGAGTGAAGCAATCTCAATTGTCTCTCTCCTGTCAACGGTAGTGCAGCAGTCCATCAGCCAATCAGTCGCCGCCTTGCCTGTGAACGTGTCCTTGACCGTCTTGCCGCCCACTTTGCGCTCGGCCGCCATTTTGACCCCTGTGAGACCATCCTTGTAGTCGCTCAAAGAATCTGAGTCGGCCGAGTTGACGCTGGACTTGACGTTGGGACCATTGGCGCCGATAAATCTCCGGAAGATGACTTCAATTGTGCCCCGGTCGGTTAGCAGCTTGTCTGTCTGCCCATCCCGTTCCAATGACACCAGCTGCGGCATACAAGTGCCAACGAGCTCGGCCACCTGTCTTTGTTGGATGCCGTTTCGTGAGCAGAACCGGTCCAGAATTGCAATCCCCTTCGGGGTCAGTTGCCAGACTGAGCCTTTCATGGTATACACTTGTTGGTATCGTCCGTCTGCAGACTCAATAAACCTCGCCTCAAGGAACCGCTGGCATATCGATCTAGCCATGTCCTTGGCCATTGAAAAAGTGGTGGTGGTCGTCGTTGTCACGATCCTGGATGGGTCTTTTGGATCAGGCATGCGATTCGACTGAGAAAATTTGAGCGAGCCCAAGTTGTTGATGGCATCTTCGGACAGAAACGTGTGTTCGACCTTGGTTAATCGTACACGGTGTGCTGAGAGTGGCAGGAGGCTGACTATCAGAGTAGAGAAGAGGTCTTTGAAATCCTGGGTTCTCCGGTTAGCGTTGCTGGACGGCTCGAGTGCAGTGCGAGCCCCGGCATGTACAAACCCTGGTAAACGGACGGTCATCGTCCGTCATGCGTAACAGCCGCGACGATGTTTGGTGCATCTTGTTGTCGAGGCGAGAAACGTGGGTCGGCTGCGGGTGCGAGGGATCCGTCTCAGTGTACGGCTGCGAAGGCGGTGTCCCCGGCACCAGAGTCGGGCTTGGCTGGCGGCCGTCTACGGGTGATGGCAAAGCAGGCGTCGCGTAATTGGAATGTGGCCTGGCGCCGCGAGAAGACCGATCCGGGCTGGCTCGACCGCTCGTAAGAGACTGCTCGGGGCCGGTCGAGATGCGACTGAGCGACCGGCGAGGCCGGACCTTGGGCTCACCGATGCCCGCAATAGTCCTGTCAAAAAAAGCGAGTAAACCGCCCGACCTCTGCGAGCTGATGGATGGCTGGCTCGAATGATGCGGCCGATTGGTGCTGTTGCTGTTGCTGTTGGAGCCTGTCGGAGCAGCAGTAGCAGCGTAGGGCTCGGGCCGAAGAGCAGCCAAGGAAGAGGGTTTCGTGGATGAGCTGTCGGGCGCAGGCTTGAGACTCTCGCGGACTATGTGCGGCGAATTGGTTATTGTTTCTGGTGAGGGAGACGAATGGGACGACTTTGACGTCGCGGCCATCTAACACCAAAACGTAGACAGCCAGCGAAATACTATTGTCAAGTGTATGTGTGCGCGTGCGGCGCTGGGACTGGGGGCAAGCTCCGGTTCAAATAGTAGTCTAGGTACAATACATTAGAAGTGGGAAAGGCCTGCTGGGCTGCGGCGGACCCAGAGTGTACGGAGATACCAGAGGAACTGAGGAAGACAATGGTGCAGCAGCTAAGCAGGCAGGGATCCAGAGAGTCAGGGGACGGCGTGGTGTATGACAGTATGAGAGCCAGGAAAACCCTGGGAAGGTCGCACGATGCGAGGTTTTGGTGTGAGATGTATTGTATGTACCTCCGTACACGCCAAGGTACAGCTACTCGTACAGGTACCTCAGCGGATTCTCGGCAACTGGAAAAGGCGATGGGTGGTGGACTGGTGGTACATCGTGCAGTTATTGTGGGACTGCCCACCCGCTGCCGCCCACCGCCGCCGCCCGCCGCCCGCCGTCTGGCGCCTGGCGACTTGTTCGTTCGCTACGGAGGTAGCGTCCAGCACCTTGGTGGGTCAGCGCCAGGATTAAGGTATCCGCTCGGCTGGCCGCAGACAAAGAAGAGAAATGGACTTGGTGAAGTGTACAAGATGGAATACAGCTAAGTGCTGTCTAGAAGCTGCTGATTTTTATGCCTTGGCCTTGGGATGTTTCAGTAGCCGTACCGTGGGTACGGACTACAGTACACGTGTAAGCCTAATAGTTTCAAAAGAAACGGTGGTGGTGGTTCCCCTCATTCACCATCATCTGCAGACCGCAACGTGCTCGGGAACCCCTCCACATGGCATGGCGCCAGGAGTGAGGTAGCTCCACCCAATTACATACCGTACGTACAACAACCGGCGGCTGTTCCTCTGTCATGTTGGTTTGTTTGTGTGTCATATCATACTTGCAAGGTAGGTGCCTATGTACGCCCTTCCTGATTCTGAGGGAGCGTCGATTTTTCTCTTTTGCATACGGAGTATTCCATATTCGGAATCCTCAGGATAGTTGAAGAAACGGGATTTTCAGTTTCCAACCAGGAGGACGAGCACACCGTTTCAGAGCCTCGGAATGAAGCCATGGGTGGGACCTGGAATGATGGTCGGTTTTAGTAGCGGGCTCTATGCAGAGGTCTAGTGTAGGTGCCGCTCCACTGCTATCACAACCACCTGTCCGGCTCATCACGGTGTGAACACTTGCGTGCAAGCCTCCTCGAGTGCCGGGCAAAACAACAGACTGCACTGGTTGTACTACAGTACTGGGCGCACTGCCAAGCGCAGAAATAATATGGTGCTGCAGCATGAAAAGAAAACTGGCAAACAATCTGCAATCGTGCCATGCAGACAGCTACCGCTCCCAAGGAGAGAGCGGGACTGTTTCCAAAGTCATACTTCGTATGTAGGTATGTATTGTATGTATGTAAGTGTACAGTACCTGCAAAGCAATTGACGGATAGGCTCGCTTGGTGGAGGAACCAGAACAATGAACCTGGAATGAGGAACCTGGGAAAAGGGCGGTCAGCCAACGTTAACGTTGGTGTTGAAGCAGCTTTGGCCGTGAGGTCGGGTGGAGCGACGGCAAGCTGGAGAACGGCGGTCAATTGGCTCCACGTTGGCGGGCAGCCAATTCCATTCCATCGCCCAGCCACATCTGCATGGAGGACACGGAACTTGTGGTGTCTTCACAGCAGCGGGCATCAGTCTCAGCGGGCTGAGCGGGGGAGGGTGGAAGATCTACGCATGGCTTTCAGGGATCTCTCCCACGAGGCCTAGCCTGTTTAGGATGAAGCCCCTGCAGCCCATGTGCTGCCACGCTCCGCCTGCACAGTGTTAGCCTGTAAGACCGCTGTGCCTAACGCTGTGGAACAAGCAGTGGGTCTTCGCTTGACATCTCTTCAAATTTAAAATCCTCTCGTAATGGCTCCTTGATGAGTTTTACAGGCTCCACAGAATGGCTCATGCTAGGTGCCACTTTTCCTCTTTTTTTCCCTTCCTTTCGGTGGACCCTTGGTCCGCGCACTGCGCTCAGCTAGCTCGACACAGGTAGCACATGAGGAGATCTTGAGAAGTACGGAGGTTGGGGCCAAAAGTAATTGACACATTCTTCCTGCCAAGACCGCCAAGCCCTCAATACAGTAAGGCACGCACAGCCCCGGCAGCCACCCACTGTAAGCCACTGTAATCAGCCCACTAACAGGCCAATCACAGGACCAATTATAGGACCAATTACAGGGCCACCTCCAGCGTCCACTTGCACTGTGACCTGATTCCCGGCATGGAAAATACAGTGCGTTTCTCTTCCTCTAGACTTTCACACGTTAATAGGCTTGGCATCAGCCCCAGGTGTCAATTACTTTTGGCCCCAACCTCCGTACACGAGTTAAAATATATCAATTAAGTCGGAGTTTGCAATATTGTCCGACCAGTATGGTCTATCAGCCACCATTTATAAGGCTCTGTCGGTACCTGCAGGTGTCTATAGTCCGATCATCGGAGCTTGTCATGGTATGTTTTCGCAGAGATGGCCCACCCTGGAGCCATCCGACGAGTTGTGGGGTATCATGAAGATGCAACAGTAAAAGGGCTTCAAGCGGGGTTATATCTTGTCGGCAATGGTTAACATACCTTTTCCACTCGGCTACCGGAGATCAAGATTGCCGAACAGCGAGATCACAAAATGCTATCCCCCCTCGATCAGTTTGCATGCGTACGAATAGCGTAGTTTCCAATTCCTGAGCCATACCATCCACTGATTTGCTGCTTGCGGTCGAAGAGGATAACCTGTAGTGTGAGCTGATCATGACATTCCTATCCGTCTCGGTCTTTGGAGAGCTTTGTGGAAATAAGATTTTCGCAACTTCGCATAAATATGCTCGAGCCAAGAGCCTGACCTAGGTCTCTTGCTCAAGTACTTAGGTCATGGAACTGGACTCCATTAGGATCCCGGCTTTCGACGTACAACATATGTACTTGCCTGATAACCTGGAAGGTGTCTGCTCTGCTGTCCTCGTGAGCGAAGATCAGGGCAGTTGCTCCACTGACTCCATTAACTTGGTCTTTATCTTGTTTCCAGGTTGTTTAGCGTCCTCATGCTTATCGCTATCCCCTCCCTTCATCTCGCCTTTCCCCTGACCTTCAAAGTTTTATCAATCGACATTCATGGAACGGCCAGTAAATCTCTCTAAGGTTTCTGAAAGTAGTTGAACTGTGCCGGAGACTTATTATACACTACAGTATAGCCGCAACATACTTGCATGTAACTAATGTGCTCATTACCGATCGGTGGGCACTTGGATTGGTTGACTGCACACCTTGAGAAACCGACAGCGCCTTGCGACAAGCACAAAACAGATTTCCATAACAAAGTCGCGCCGCTCTCACAGCCTTTCGCTCTTACCACAAACTACATACATATCACTGCTTCCAAGCAGGGAACCCTGCTTTTGTCCTCATACCGCCATTTGTAGTTCGGAGATGGCGGGCTGGCGAGACTGCGGGGCTATGAGGGGAACAACGGCCGATGATCCCTGCCCAATATCATCGAAACACGGATTTTATACAAGTGTGGCCTCTAGTTTGAACTGTCTCGAGACTGTGAACAGTGAACAGTGACTGGCCCGTCCGGTCTCCATGGCATGGCGTGCTACCAATTCTAAAGGCGAGCCTCGTCATGGCAAACCAATAAAGGAGTGTCTGCAGGAAGTCGTTGGATGTACTCCGTAGGCCAGAGCCAATTCGTTTACTGCCTCAGATTTTAACAAGGTTGTCGGTGGTTGCTTGAGGAATTGAGCTCAAGTTTGTTGAAAGATACACCTTGTTCTCAGGTATCCCTAGATCAGCGGGCCGGTATTCGGGTTGCCCGGAGAATGGTTACGCGCGCACCTATCGTCTAGAACATATGAAGTACGACATGTTCGATTGGGTATGTTTCAGCAGTCCCAGGTATAAACACGGCCTGAGTTGATGAATTCCAGACTGGAGGAGAAAGATTGATGATTGACGAACTGAGATGTTGCCCAAATACCTTACTGCTACCGCTAGGTATAGGATCCTTACATGCCGGAATTGTGTAGCACAAGTACCGGTACTTAACATCTCGGCGGGACTTCGCCACGTGAGCCCGCTCGCATCCTTCCGAAAAGGAAAAAGCTTGGTCGGGTGGAGCTCCACGTGGGAAAGCAGCCAACATGTTACAGATTGAGCCCCAGAACGTCTAGGGGGTTGTGGGTGGTGCGCACAAATTGCCTGGTCACTGCAAGACTCTGGTTTCGGTTCACAGCCTTGATTGGCTCGCCATTCGGCAAACATGAGAGCACGTGTAGGGGGATTCAACTGTAAAGTACGCTAATAAAAGTTATACCACCCATTAGTGTGCTGTTTTATGATAGATGAGAGACCAGGCCGTTTCCGATGCGTCCTCTATTCAGCGTCAGAGGATTGCCCTCTGAGAGAACCGGCGGTGATTACTGGTACAGCGAATAGTGTATTTCAATACCACATGTACGTAGTGTACGGCCGAGATCCACGCCAGCGGACCACCAAAGGTACAATGTTTTGTCTACCTTATGTATGCAACGTAGAGACACGAGCAAATTCGACGCTTTTGGCCGTGGTCCCATGGATCGAAAACGGAAACCACATGGCATTAGACAAGTCCTGGAGCTACCTTGCCGCATGGCGACGGAATTGAGCTTTCGGCCGAACAACCAAGTCAAGTTCCGTAAGCTGACGAATGCGGGATCGCCTGCATGGGCTGCAGGGGGGCTTGTATGGAAAAAGAAATATGTAAGCAGAGGATCAAAGGGATACGTCCCGTAAGGCCTCGGAGATTTTGTGAAATGACAGAACTGTTTATCATTTGGAAGAAGGTATTGAATTCGAAGATACCTACGGATACGGATAGTATTGATGCCTTCATTGCCTTGGGGCCCTACACTAAGGCTCCAGCTGAGTAGTGAGTGTACTGCACTTGAGTAGGTATGTACTGTACTGTACAGTACTGTACGGAGTACTGTACTAACAGTCCAAGATTTGCGTAGGGAACTGGCACTGCAGCCAACGGGACTCGGAGCTTCTTGACAGCAGTCCCTGATACGCACTCTTGAAGCGACGGCACAATAGAGCACCTCAAAGGAGTAAAACGATGCGGACAAGTGAATAATGAACCGTCCTTATTAGTCAAGACTGTCTATGCCAGCGAATCGGCATTTTGGTTATTGGTGACAAGGCGACCACTACACGATGGACCGTAAGAGGCAGGCTCGAAGACGGCGGAAGCTGGAGACCCTGGGGCTTCTAGAAGCCTTGGCGCGCGAATTCAGTCTGGACACTTCAGCCCCGGCTTGAAAAGCGACGGGATCGTCCTATGTTGATATAACGGAGTACACTATTATCGTGCATCACGCCATTTGAGATTCTCTGGAACAGGAGATGCTGGCCACCAGTATTGGACTTCCCTACTCCGGCTGGGTATAATATTGTATTCGCCTTTAGGTACCTTCGTAACTACCTAACCAGGTCGTCTCGTCCATTACACGAAGGAAAGACAGAACATCTGAGGTGGAACAAGATGAGATCTTTCCTGTTACAATCCTCAGGGAATACGACGTAAGTGTGAAGAATGTTCAATGTGATTAGGCAATACGCTTGCGATGGTGCTAATTTGGGGGCGGGAACAGGGTGCAGTGGAACACTCTCATCAGAGGCCCGCAATAGCTCACATAGAGAAACCCCCAAAAAGAGGACGGCTACCTAGATAATCAACGCATGGCGTATAAGAGACCGAGACAAACCATTTTACCAGCATAGGTGGAGGTACATACAATAGCAGCCTGATCTGTGCTGTTCACCTCTCTTCTGGTAACGTTGAATCCAGCGATCGTCCGATAAAATGTACAGCGCACAGATGTCGAGACGTCGTCTTTCCTCTGGACCCCTAGGGATGCGGCCCATCTTCCCTTGGCGAGGGCGGCTAGCCCGGCCCAGCCCGAGTCATCGGGCTTGCCGTCGGTGGACACCGGCCCCAATTGTTCGGAAGACAACCTCCGCGAAACAAACACGGCTGTGATGCTGCGATACTGATACGTCATGTTTCGCGAGGGCCGGGCTGGAAGGTGAGAGGACGGCCGTTTTTGTTCAGCCATATCTCATTGTGGCGAGGTCGAGAATCTCGCATACCTAAGCATTTGGAATTGATGCATTTCGATGCTTTTAGGACGAACTTGGTACATACAAACATTACGCCAGCCTCGCGGACGGCCAGCAATGGAAGAGTGAAGAGGACCCTGAGCGTACTTTGTACCTCTACTACTTTGGCCTCCGATCGAGCCGGGACAACGGCCGCAGTTTGCGAGACGGGACGGTGAGCCGGAAATGCACCACTTAACGCCCGGCGCATCACAGCGCGTTCGGTTTTGAACATCTGCGCCTTCATCTAGCGTTGCATCGTTAGATCTCCAGCCTGCTGCTGCCTGCAAAATAGGTACGTAGGTACCCAAGGCTTCAATTCCGACTGCGGCCATGCCGCGGCTTCCCTTCCGGTTGGTTTTACTATGGGTTGCAATTTGGCGCAGCAACGACGGGCGAGATGAATAGGCGTCGCCGCGGGCATGTTTGGCATGGCATCAGGCGAATTTAACATGTCATAACGTCACCCTCCCTTCTCGTTTGCCGCTGAGTGTCTCCTTGGCTGTTTGATCCACAAATCTGCCCTGATCGGTATGTATCTACGAAGCACTTAGGTTATTGTACCAAAACCTTCAACCTTGAAGCTTGGATAATGCTAAAACGCACGCAAACCAAGCCAAGTCAAGACGGCACCACTGCCATGTCCAGGACAACCGACCGACCCGACGACTCTCACTCTCACTATCGCCATAGCCGCCATCCTTCGCATCTGCGACGGGACGAGCCGCCTCCATCATCCCGGCCACGGCCTCAGGCCCGCCGACCTCCCTCCCCATCCCCGTTGTGCTGCTCCTCGATCTCGTGCTCAACAACAACAACAAGCCCATGTCGCAGTTGCACCGAGCACACCAACACAGCCCCATCCACTCACAGCAACACCCGCCACGATCACAATCAAGCCCTCGTCCTTCACAGCCAGCGGCGACAACGTCAACACCATGACTACTACCAAGAACAGCATCTGGTCCCCGCCCGGCGGGCTCCTTCCTTAAGGTATGCAGATGACGACGAGGACAGCGGCGTGGAGGAGTACACAATCTATCCCAAAGGATATCGTCACGGCTACGGCAACGGCGCCGCCGGCGGGATAGGTGAGGAGCATGGCTATGGCTACTACGACGGCATGGATAGGACGCGAAGGCGACGGCGGCGGCGACGGCGGTCGACCGAGGAGACAAAGGGGTTCTTACTAGCAGCGTTGATATTTGTTGCTGGGGTTGTTTTGTGTTGGGACTGATTTACTGCTGGTTTCCCGTGTCTCTGGGAGACCGCTCAAGTCAAAGTTCCCGCTAGGCTGGCACCTTCTGGAGGAGACGGTGCTATGTTGCTTGAGCTGGAGTTGTATACTCTTGTACAAGGCATTGGAGGCTGCCTTATGTGTGTAACGAATCTGTGTCCTCTCGACAAGGACGTGGAGAGCCAACATGTACAATCCAATGCCATCGACGCATACCACATATCCGCGCTGCGCAGAGCAATACCTAGATGTGATGACGACCTTTGACCATATCAGCCTTTTCGAAGATGAAGAGAGGAAGCAGTTACAATTTTAGGATGCCATTTTCACCAGATTAAGGTCTTATTTGCTCAAATTGAGCCTTTATTTGCTCAAGTCCACCGAACCAACCAACCGCCCAAAACTCCCAACCCAACCGCAATTCTTGGGGTAAAGAATTAGCAAACACCTCATGAACGCCTAACGGATGCAGGTATTAAATAATCCAGTGCAATGCCCTTGTTCCCGCCACCCAGCCTGGCACGGAATATTTGCGCACACAACACCGTCCGGCGGTCGCGGCTCAGAACTCAAATCGAAGCAGGCGCCGCATCCTTACGCCACCCCTTTGCCCTCATATTGGCCTCGATGGCCTTCCAGATGGACTCGACGACCTCGCGGTCGCGCCAGCGGCTGGTCTCGGCGCCGGGCTGACCCGGGTCGCGCCACTTTTCGACGGAGCACGTGAGGATACGGTGGCCGAAGGAGCGGACCGAGTCAGGCGGTTGCTCGCCGCGCCAGCCGAGGTAGACGCCCAAGACGTGCTTAAAGAGCTCGTTCGGGTTGCTCCACCGGTAGTTTTTGAACTGCCACGCCTGGCCCGTTGTAAACACGGCAACCACGCGGTTCCAGTACTCAGGCTTGAACTGCTCTGGCCCCTCGACCAGGATGAAGCGCACGGGACGCGCCGGGTCGATCTCCTTGAGCGTGCGCGAGACGTGCAGCATCGACGCTCCTGTGTTGTGGTCAGGCGGCGTGTACCGGCCGCCTTCAAGAAAGGCCTTCGCGTTGGACATGCGCAGCAGGGATGAAGCTGAGGGTGAGAGGAGGATAATGGGGTCTGGCCGCCGTGCCGGTTTCTGGTTAAGTGCGAGGGCCGGGCTGGCGCCGACGCCGACGCTGCCAGCCAACGGGGGTCCGCCTGGTTTGCGTGTCATGAAGGGCGCAGCGAGCTTACGGACGTGCGAGAAATCCTGCGATCGGGTCAGAGTATGGAAGACATTAGGATTGCATATTTTTGGGCAAGCTCACCGTTGGCTTTATCCCCCTGAGAACGGTATTTCGGTCGCCCATGCGGCGCTCTCCGTTGTATATCTGCGCCAGGCGCGGGTCGAGCGTGCCTCGCCCTGTGCGGGCTGAAGATGCCGGCGCCGCCTTAAGCGCGGCACCTGTCGTCGCTGCGCTTCCGGCGGCCGTCGCGTCCTTATCGCCGGCCAGAGGCTTGATGAAGTCGCTTTCTTCACTGGCACCCTCTAGCCAAGTAAAAAGCTCTAGACGCTCGACGAAAGCAAACTGGTGTACGGTGTATTTCCCTGCCATCTCCTCATTTAACTTGGTAGCAATGGTATTGTACTCCGGGACGGGATATTCGTGATGCAACCAGGCAAAGTAGATGCTGCGCAGGTCAACCGCGTTGCCTTCAGCGGACACAAACCGCGTCGGGACGTCCATAGGCACTGCGACCCGGGTCGGGTGGGTGAAGATAAGATGGGTTGCTTTGGAGAGCGGCGCTTCCTCAGACGAGTCGGGCGACGTGGTTGGGATCATGCTGCTGTTCGCGCCAATTGACTGCCGCAGCATCAACAGCGGATCGGGGTCGGTCGACGCCATGGCTGACCGTTATCGGTGGTATAGAGGTGGGAGGAGATGGATTTGGTTGCTGAAATCCGCAAAAGTTCCCGCGATTGATTTCGCGAAATCGTGAGTTTGACAAGCGAGGCTGAAGGTGTTGAGGTAGACCCACTGCAGCGCCCCAGCCTTCTGCAGTGGAAGCCTCAACTTGCTCCAGGCTGAGGTCGAACGTAAGTACCTAACGTTACTGTATAAACCATAGCGCGCTGGGGGGGTAGTGCAAAATGGTCACTGTCAGTATTTTTCAGTACCAAGATGCTTTGGCCGTGCGAACCCCACGTTCAATTAGGAAAAGAACCACTGTAATATTCACGGAACCAACACAGTCATATCACCCGAAGGGCAAGTTCGATAGACAAGACCTTCCTTCCTGAAAAACTGACTACGTTATAGCTATTTTCAAATGAATCCATCTTCTAGCT